ACTGGCCTTGTTCCTTCAAAGCAGAACTTGTTGCTATACTTTCAGCAATTATTACAGCTCCTAGATTTTGTACTGTTTATATCTTTACTGATTCACAATCAGTTATTTTCAAATACAATAGCCTTATACAAATCTCATATTCCTTATCTTCTACAAATTCTTCATATTCTATGCTCTGGCATACTTTTATTAATTTTACTAAAGCATATAATCTTCAAATTATTTTTTACAAAGTTACTGCATACCAAGAAGACCGATTCAATAATATGGCTGATCAACTAGCTAGATGTTATCTTACTTCTGATTATCTTATTTTCAAATCTTATAATATTTATAATCCTAATTTTACTCTTCAATTTGACGAGTATCCTCTAGAGCTACCAATTCAGTGCATTATTTGTACTATCTGCCATGCACACATCTATGCTTTGTGGTCATCTCAAAACAGATTTCAACAATGATCACAAATTACTCATCATATCAACTGGCCTGCTACATGGCTCTATATAAACAACAACCAAAAAATTACAAATTTCTCATATAGTTTTCAATCTTCTACTCTCAAATTATTCTGAGTTAAAATTATTCTTGATAAGCTTCCTACTTCTCATATACTTTATTAATGCAAGCACCAAACCTTACCAAATTGTCATCAATACAACCAAATGAGTACCTTACTACATTAGGCTACCTGTCCATCACTAGCACTACTTCATAATCTTATTGACAATTTTTTACAACAGATCATTAACTCTACATCTCTAGATATTGCATCAGAATCAGTTGCTATACTTCATAACCAAATCAAAAATCTTGACAGCATGACATTTCATCATAACAACCACATTCCATCTATCTACTCTATTCTGTCAGGTTTAGTACCTCTTGATATTATATATCTGCTCAAAGAGATTACATTATCTACCAAATCAGCTTCTACAATTATTATAAAATTTCTTTTATATCTTAATTTACAAATTTATTATAATATTTGAATACCTTATTGCATTTCTTGTTCTTCAAATATATCCTGTAATAACACTTCATCTTCTTCACCTTCTGTCTCATCTCATACATTTTTTTTATTTTCTCAATCTTCACCTCTTACTTTAGTTAGCAACAAATTAATACTTTGATATCCTCTATGGATCAAATACCAAACAAGTTTAACATATAATTACTAATTCTCAAATCTAGGTGAGCCATGGCCACCCTAGTTGGTTTAGGCCACAAATAAACTAGTCTGAGTTTCTTTTTTTGTTATCTTAGGATATGGAGTTTAAATATATTCTTTTTATTGTAAGAGAATTGAATTAAATTTCAATATAAGATAGAGATATGGTCTCATCATTAACATTCAAAAAAAAAAAAAAAATTCTTCTTTGCTAATCTATCTCAAGTATCAATATCTATTCTAACAAATTCTTTTACAAATAGATTTTGCTTCATTTATAGAAAAATAATTTTTAAGAATGTAATGACTTAGTAAAATAGTTGGTTGTCACTCTTCAAATAGCACATTTAGAGTTTAATTTCTACTAATAATGAAAAATTGAATTTTTTCATATAATAGCAACTCTTGTATATTAGAAAGAAGATCTTGTTATATCCAGTTATACTTTATTAAAAAGAATGTACATTGTACTATCAGGCTGATCTAAGGGAGATCCTAGACATTTGTATAATATACAAGTTGTACAAAAGAGATACAAAACTGATAAAGTAGTATAGACTTATAATAAGTTTTTGAGATTATGTTAATCTGATGAATAGCATTAGAGAAGCCTATTTGACAAGATCTGAGTAGAGATATAATATAAGCTTCTAATAGTAGCTATCAGAATAAGCTTCATTTGAAACTAGTAAACTGAATAAGACAAGAATATTGGCAAGTTATTTTACTAACTAGGCTGCCAGGTCGATTGGAGAAAAAGATTGGTATTCCTTTTAGATTATCTGGATTGGTAGTTTGAAGAGATCAACTAGGAGATACTGAAAGAAAAAATACTAAATTGTCTTGAAGAAAAAGTATTAAAATTTGTATAAACTTTGTAAAGGCCAGGAGTTTGATAATGTAGCTTGCTTATAAAAGCTTAAAATCTATCTGATGAACTTATCTGTAGAAAAAATTGATGATGTGACTTGCTTGTAAAGATATAAAACCTATCTGATAATATCTATTTAAAAAAGACTAAGTTATATGCTAAAGGTAGATAACAGACAGCTCTAGCAAGTAATGTACTTGAAAATAAATCAGTTAATTATGCCAGTAGTCTTATAAATAAGAATACAATGATCTTAGAACTTGGACTAACTAATATATCATATGTTCTGGGTAAGGTTAGATAAATTATCATAGAAAACTCAAATCAGAAGATTTAAATGAGAAGTCCACAGGTAGATCTCAGGTATAGTATGTAGTAGATAACTATAGCTAGTAATAAATATAGCAGAGTCTTTAAATAGACAATAACTAAAGTTGTATATATAGTTAAATGTACTTTTATCAAAATGTACTTGTCTGGGACCCTTGATAAAAACACCACATAATTCTACAATCTAATAAAAATGATAAACAGAGGCTAACCTAGACTACAAAAAAAAAAAAAAAGTTTTTACAAAGATTTTCTCTTATTAATTGTATAATCTAATGCCATGATAAATACCTTAGGTCTTCTTCAACCTATTCTAGCTAGCTAATTATCTAAAAATACTTAGTTAAAATAATTATAGGAAATAGGGGGTATAATTTCAATAACACAAATGTAATTTAAAATCTTTAAATATAAAACTATTCTATTTATTAATAAAGTTTTAACTATGGCATTTTATAAAAAAAAAAAAAAAAAAAAAATCAAACAAGATCTAGATACCTTTTATCTAACTTAAAACTTTAAAACATGCTTTTTTGGGCTTTTGTCTTTAAGATAAATCTGTTAGAGCCTTTTATATTTCACACTTAGGCTAATCTAGACTTTGGTAAATATATACCGCCTAAGAGCTGCTACTTGTAAATATTGTTTATATAGTTTATATATAGCTTAGGCTAACTGATTATTTGCTAGTACTCATGAACTTAATTAACGCGAATAAAATAAAATTAAATAATGTAATAAATATTTACAAACTCGAAAATATATATTAGAAAAATAGAAATGAAAGTCAAGGAAACAATAGTATTGGCGAAATGAAAATTAATGTCAGGGAAATGAGAATGTTGAGTGAATAAAAAATGCGGAGAAAATGAAAATATTGGGATTGATTAGGGAGCTGACACTTATTACGTAAAATCAACCCCCCTCCAGCGACAATAGCAGGTTCTAAAGTAATCGATCTTTTGACAATTGCAAACTCTAAAATAACCAATCATATAAAGTTTCCACTATGATTACTTTAGAACCTGTTATTGTCGCTGGAGGGGGGTTGATTTTTACGTAATAAGTGTCAGCTCCCTTATCAATAAAATTATCGTCGAGAAAGCGATTGTAAGAGAAAAAAGTGAGCGAGTCAAGAGAAAACCAAAGTTTTTTTTAAAACACATGAAATAAATATTATTCTATATATATACATATATATATATGCATTTATGCATTTCGATTAACACTCAAATAATTGCGACCCTACCATGGACTTGAATAGTTTAACTTTAATAACCATGATTACTAGAGACAATAATTAATATATAATAAAAAATTATACGCATTAACTAAACGACATAAATAAGTAGGAAATCTAAGTGTAAGGTCAATATATAAATTACAGCTGATTTTGATCAATTTTTTTATACACGTGTCATATGTAGGAAATTGAAATTTCCAATGAGTAAGAATTACAGGTATTTTAGATTATATTTCAATTTCACACAAAAGGTGTGATCAGATTTCCGGAATTTTCAAAGCGCACTCTAATCAGACTTTCAATTTCTACTAAATTATAACCGGAGATGAGCAAGTATTATTATTTATTGTTTACAATTATTATCATTTTCTGCGTAGTAAGTAAATAATAAGTAAAGAATTGTGACATCAAACGTCCATAGCTGACGTCACATACTCAATTGTTTATAATCAAGATCACGTTACATGATCCCAAGACTTTTTATGACCCTTATTCGTCGTCGCTAGACTGTAAACTTATAGGTGGACCGTAAATCTGACTACACCTTTCTTCAAAAGCAGTTACTATTAAATCATTAACTTGGTCAAAAAATACATTAGCGACTTGAGCATGTAAGGACGAAGCGAATTCAAATTCTAAGGCAAAATCTAGATTGCAATGAGTTAATGGGAACTCCTCATATGGAGTAAATCTCCAAGTCGTTGTCAGATGCTTAAAAAGAGCATCAGAAGAAGCAATTGCCTAAGTAAGAGAGTTTCATAGAAAATAGAAAATGTACCATAAAATAATTTAAAAGAAAATATAAAATAAATTCAAGGAATAAGGAAATAAAATTGGATTACCTGCACAAAATATGGCCTTTCGCATGTTACTTCAGAAACATATGTTTCTGAAAACCCTTGAAAACCCACACATAAAGCAGCGGTTAGAATTTTTGTTTTTCGGTCAACGTATTGTGTTTTTAAAACTTCAGAATTTGTACAAAACGGAATAAAAAGATGATAATCATCGACATTTGAAACTACATCATAAAGTTGTCTTTGTGTATATCTATTCTCGAAAAAAAAAAAAACGAGATGAATAAAAAGAATGTACAGTATATGGATAATGAAAAAAAAAAATTTAGGATTCTTATCTGACACGAACCCCAACACTTTATGTCCAATATAAGATCTTCGTGATGACAAAGCATCAAAACCAAAAAAGTTACGTTGTTGATGGATTGATGGAGCTGGTGGACAAAACGGTCGTGATATATTTGTTACGGGTGAAAAGAATTGTCTAAGATTTATAGAAGGTGGTTTTTTAAGAGTTGATCGAAATAAATTTGATATCTTTTTAAAAGGGCTTTTAAACATCTTGACATTTTATCATTTATATATATATACTATAATATAATAAGATAGTTTTTTAGTAAATCTACAAGAGAAACTTATATATAAAAAAGAAAAAAAAAGAATAAAGTAATCCAAATCATAAATTATGTAATGACAAATCCGGGATACACTTTGCACTTGCGGTTAATGATTTAAAATTACCATTAATACGTAGCCTGTTCGAAACATCGCGCATGAAATTTATTTGTAAGATAATATTGATTATATAATCGATCAGATACTGCATATAAACATGAATATACCTGATTAAAATATTGCGTTATCGTTAGTGTTATTAATCATTGTAAAAATAAGAGAATTTACAAGATTTTTTTTTTTTATGTAAATTTTTGAGGAAAAAAAAACCGAGTACATAAATAATTATGAAAATTATAAATCTAACCGTATCGATGGAAACAATTTGATGCAAGATTATGTCATGAATATGGTCTAAAAATTGTATGTGATACAGACCAATAAAAGATTTATTTGCGTGTCTCCCTTTTTTAATATACGTAGTAAATGGAATAGTCCTTATTTGGGCCGATCCAATTAATCCAAATAATTAAATAATTTGATCCTATCTTCGCACACAAACTAGCATTAATCAATAAATTAATTATTCTAGGATAAATATCAGATTCGAATATTCGAATTTATCCGGATTTAAGGATCAATTCAGATGAGATTACAGCCGATCAGTATGGTATGGGGTATAAGCTTAAATACTTATTTTAAAACCATACCATACTATATAATCTTCAATAATTTTTTTTTTTAATTTCTAACCCTAATACACAATATGAGTAACGCCGAACTCCGGGCTTTCAAGTTTATTATTTATTATTTACCAGCCCTGATCTGAGACATACACATTGCCAGTCAGGACAGATTCCGGTAAATAGCAAATACGTACGTAATAAATTTGAAAACCCGAAGTCTTGTTTTTCCCCATACTATACAATTCTAGTTACCCATACTGACTCATAATTTGAAATCCAAATTACTGTAGTTAAACATCGAATCAGGATATTAATAATTTAAAAAAAAAACTTGATTTTTTTTTTGTATATAATAAAACTCTATATTCCATGGTCCCTAAGGCCATACAAACTTAATAAATTGGTTCTTATAACCCGGCCGGGTCAAATTTCGCAAAATTCTTAAAAAAATTTT